GTATATTTACAAGGTCAGGAAAGGTTCAGTTCTTCTAGCTTTTTGCCTGGAGGCTATTAGTCTCAGTTACTTGATAAGCCTTGAGTTGTAGCCCTTAGCTGAATAAAAATATCTTTCAGGTGTTCAGGGTAAGAAGATTTCTAGAGGGTGGGGCTGATGCTGGCTGTTAATGAGCCTCAATTTGCCTTCCTCTGGCCTAGCTGGGTGGAATTAAATTTCTGAGGGAGGGGCTGTTGTTTATTCTAGTGTCTTTGGGAATGGGCTCTTTGAGTTAGATGGCTACTGTCCCACAAGGGAGTGATTCAGCAGAAAACTCCCAGTGCCCTCCAAGGTCTCCAAGCTCCCGAGTGTCCACACAGTTCCAGTCCAGTCTGCCCTTCCTCTGCCGGGTCCCAGGTTGAGTGGCTCTATCGAATTTAGTATTCTGTCTCAGCCCTCTGTGCTGTAGAGCTGGCTTGGGATTTTAACCCTGAGGGAGCTGCTCACAGCTAAAACAGATGCTGTCTATAGGCTCCCAGCTCACCCTTCCATGCCTCCACAGATCCTACCAGGCTTGATTCAGTGTCCTTTTTACCTTTCCCTGGTTATATGGGTCCTCTCCAGCTGCTTTTCTGTTGCTGTTCCCTGACGATTTGTCTTTATTTTAGTTGTAATTCCAGTTTGGTCCTGGGAGATGGTCTTTGTAGCTTCCATTTACTCTGCTGCCATTTTGGAATTTTCAGCTGGCCGGGGTCTGAGCTAGAAAGGCAAGTAAGCTAGAAAGGCAGTTTGTAGCTTGTTCTACCCCCTACTTCCACTTCCAGGGAGGTGACTCTCAGTCTTTACAGGTGTTGGGTGGTAGTGAAAGAGCTAGTCTTTATGTTTTGTATGTGAAAAAGACATGTCTATATAGTTCACCTTTGTATTAAGAGCTGCTAAAATAATATGGAGGAAAAGGTACATGTTCAAAAGATTTCAGAAGACCAACTGGCTGATAAAATGGTGAATAAATGAATGAGTAAATCCAATATCCACTTTGAAATTGTCAGGTAAAATAGGAGGTTTTTGTTTCCAGTGCCATAATCTCCCTTTAATATAATTTTAACTTTTGTAAAGAAACAGTGATAACTTGCATATCATTCTCTAGTATATTCTTTACTTTAGGCAGGACACAATGGTTTCTTCATCCTGGTACATTTAAGAAGTTATGACACATTCTAAACTCTAAAATTAATGAAGTAACAGACATGTTGTGAACAATAAAGAAGAAATTACAAAGATTTACCAATTTCATGTTATCATTACAATGATTTGAATCCTTGAGTTTCGCCTGGCTGGTGTGGCTCAGTGATTGAGCATCGACTCATGCACCAAGAGGTCGCTGGTTTAATTGCCAGTCAGGGCACATACCCAGGTTGTGGTCCCAGTCCCAAGTGGGGGGCATACAGGAGGTGGCCAATCGATATTTTCTCTCATCGATGTTTTCATCTCTCTCTCCCTCTCCTTTCCTCTCTCTCTAATATCAATAAAAAAAAAATAATAAAAATAAATCCTTGAGGTTCTGTCCAGAGTCCAAATAGCCCCATGAAGGTTATGGGACAGATTCCTCTGTAATGTCCATTATATATTGTCATTCACACCAACAAAGACATAGTCAGTTTGTATTATGCTCACTTAACAAGACTTTCATTTCCTCATCAGCTTTGTCAACTTCCCCATCTATTTAGCATTCCTATAACATTGTAAAGATTTAAAAAACTACTTTTCCCTTTCTCTTGTTATTGATGCTTTATTTTACAACTTAATCTCTCATTCTAGTCTTATTATTTACTATACACAAGTATTTCCCATCTCCTAAGTCTTGATTAGGCTGTTTAATAAACTTACCTTGGTCAAACAGACAGAACTCTAAGACAACACCATCATTGGATCACAAGATTTCACCTTTCAGAATTTGTAAAAAACACACATACATGTCTACATGCATACACACACATACATATGAAGAAAAATGGCATTATAAATACCATATTTTCATTACCCTCATTAAACAATAGTTTTATCTTATGAGATTCGGCATTTTAGAGTAACACATATTACATGTAAGCTAAATTTCCACTGATTCAACCTCTCCCATTTCCATTCCCTCCACCCCATCTAGAGGCAACAACTATTAAGTATTTCAACCTTTTCCTGTTTTCCAAATATTTGTACTTAGTTTTTTTGTGGTAAGAATACTTAGTGTGACATCTACCCTCTTAACAAATTTTTAAGTATACAAATACAGTAATGCTAACTATAGGCACAATGTTGTATAAAATATCTCTAGAATGTAATCATTTTTCATAACTAGAATTTTATACCTATTTAGTAGCAATTCTCATTTTCCCCATTCCCCTAGTCTCTGGCAGCTACCATTTTACTCTCTGCCTTTATGTGTTTTACTATTTTATATACCTTACATAAATGGTATCGTGCAGTGTTTGTCCTTCTATGACTAGCTGATTTCACTTAGTTTAATGTTCTCAAGGTTTATCATGTTCTTTAAAAAATAATTCATTTACTCCTATGTTCTTTGATACACACACACATATATATGTATATGTATGTATATATATACACACACAGAACATATACACACATGAACATTATATAAAAATATACACATTATATATACATATACATTATTATATGTATATATATTTATGTTATATATGCTTATAATTGCTAGTTACGTGGTCTTAAAATTTATAAGTGGATTTAAAATGTTTACATCATTCTGTACTTGATATATATATATATATATATATATATATATATACACACACACATATATATGTAAATTGCTCAACCATCATATTTTGAGATTTAATTATCTTGATTGTTATGGATTTGGTTCAAGCATTTAGAGTAGATGAGCATTTTAATAGCTTCTAAATTGACTCTGTAACAAACAATAATATTATTTACATATTTTTATTCCTCATTGGGCAGTGCCAGACTTTTTTATTTCTTCCAGGGTTATGAGTGTTAGAAGCATTTTATATCATGTTACACATACATTTTCCAGATCATTATTAATGTTTAGTGTATTCATTGGCCTAGAAGTTACTTCTTTTGTGAAGTGTCCATGTGCACTTATTTTTTTTCAAATAATTTTTTTCTTTATTGACTTCAGAAAGAGAGAGGCAGGGAGAGGAAGAGAGAGATAGAAACATCAGTGAGAAAGAATACTGATTGGCCACCCCCTCCATGCCCCCTACTGGGGATGTGGCCTACGAACTGGACATGTGCCCTGACTGGGAGTCAAACTGGTGACCTCTTGGTGCATTGGTCAATGCTCAACCACTGAGCCACATCGGCAGGGCCCATATACATTCTTTGCCCATAGTTCTACAAAATTCTGGCCTATTATTTAATTTAATAAATGCATAATGTATCTATTTTCACTTGTTTATGGCTAGTTCTTTCACCGTATTTGTGATTATTTTTTCATTCAGACCTTTACAATTTTAAAGCATAAAATATATCCATCTTTATGATTTTAGCTGTGTTTAAGGATCCCTTCAATAGTATATCACACACACACACACACACACACACTACACACCACACACACACACAATCAATCCTTATTCTCATTTGGTTGGTTTGGATATGCAAAGATAATGAATAGCAGTAACTATGGTTTAGTTTTGACATTTTAAGGAAGGATTTATGGAGGAGTAAACCTTCTAAAGAGGAGAAAATAAATTCAGGGATACTGTGTTAGGAATATATGATAGTAAGAGGTATTCTGCATACTTGTTGAGGTGTTATTTAAACATAATAATTCCAATTTAGGGACACATTCTTATGTTGGACTCTAATTCTAAGGAGGTCATCTTGTTGAATTGAAAAAGAAGACGCTCTTTGAGGAAGATAATAAGTTTTAATAAAATAACAATTAAAATTAAATTAAAAAATTTTAAAGTAAAGAAAGAAGAAAGAACACTACAACTTAAAAACATTTTTTTTTTTTTTTATGTAGACATACCTTTGCAATGCAAATGAGGTCTGTTGGAAGCTGGGCCAAAAAGGAGCATAGGAGAGACTTTTTTGTACATTGGTTCTTGAGCCTGGACACTGACTAGTGGTGACATGTACAGAAGGGCAGAGGTCAAAGAAAAAAAGAGCTAAAAGTTGAGTCAGAACCAGGCCTGTAAAAAATCCTATAAAGATGGGCTGGGGCTTAGTTCTGGGAAGAGCCCAATCTGCCAGCCATTTATACCTTTCTCTGAATTGTGTTTTTCTTATGTCATTCTTGATAAATGACAATGCCTAGAGTTGGTTTTCTGTAAGACATAAAAATGAATTTGATATCCATGCTCTGGGTGAAATAACAAAATGGAGAGAAAGCACCTTCACAAACAGCAAGGTAATGAATGACACTAGGAATTTAAACACATTTTCTGTGGTCCCCAAAATACAGGCTGTGAATAGATCCTACCAATGCATGGACCTAAGGATGGAGCAGGGTGCTTTGAACTGGAATCAGATACCAACGTCTTCACAGAAATTGGATTGGGCTAATGTGAGCTGTGGTTGTGTTATTGATTAGGTGATATGTGATCAAACTAGTCAGGTAAACTTATAATATTATTTATAATTGCCATCATTAGGGCCTCTATATTACATGGAGATAAAAGGAAACAATATACAACATTCTACAATATTGATTACATATATATAAGTCTGTATGTGTGCTTTTGCAATATATCAATCATTATCTGCATCCACATACATATATGTCTATATACATGTATCAGTGAGAACATATTAAGAAGTAAGTTGATAACAATATTGTCATATCTGAAGACAGTATAGGTAGAGGGTTGACTATGATCTTTGTTTTAAAATATTCAGGGAAACAGAAATACATTAATAAACTGAAACAAAACATTTTCATCATATCTTTTAGACATTGAGGCATAGAACATCACTCTCTATTTCTCAATCTATATTTTACTGTAAAAAGACACTTAGTTGATACACCTGTTTCCCCCAAAATACTCTTTTTATTGCCTCTTTCACATCTTTGTTCCTCAGACTGTAGATGATGGGATTCAGCATGGGAATCACGATGCTGTAAAATGTCGACACTATCATGTCATGTTCCAAAGTGTAGCTGGAACTTGGTCTCACATACATGAAGAGAACTGTTCCGTGATAAATTGTCACTCCAGTTAGGTGAAAGCCACATGTAGAAAATACTTTTCTCCTCCCTTCAGCAGAATGCATCCTCAGAATGGCCAGTAGAATGAAACCATAGGACATCAGGACTATCAGGATGGTGACTATCTCAATTGCACCCACAAAGTAGAAGAGTAGAAGCTGGTTTGTGTATGTGTCAGAACAAGAAATAGCAAGGAGAGGAGGGATGTCACAAAAGACATGTCTAATTTCATTGGACGCACAGAAAGATAGGCTAAATGTGGCCACTGTGTGTATAGAAGCATGCCAAATGCCACCAACATAGGAAGCAACGATGAGTGACACGTAGACTCTGGGTGACATGCTAACTGGATACAGGAGAGGGTTGTAGATTGCCACGTAGCGGTCATATGCCATTGCAGCCAAGAGGAAGCATTCTGTGGTCCCAAAAGTAACAGCGAGAAACATCTGTGTTGCACATCCAAGGAATGAAATGACATTATTCGTTGACAGGAAACCTACTAACATATTCGGTGTAATTACGGAGGAAAAGCCAGCATCTGCGGATGATAACACACTCAGAAAATAGTACATGGGGTTGTGGAGCTGGGAATCCCCAATCACCAATGCAACCAACCCTAAATTTCCCATCAGAGTAAACAGGTAAATTGCTAGGAACAGGAAGAATAAGAGGATCTGCAGTTCCAGCTTGTCTGTGAAGCCCTTCAGTACAAACATAGTAACTTCAGTGACATTCTTCATGTTAAAACCTCATGAAACAAACATAAAAGTATTTGTAAAGTTACAATTCATTTACTACAACATGAATAAACAGAACTGTGACTCAGTCAACATTGTGACACTAGGGAACATGAATTATGTCCTCATATTTATTTGTTGGCAATGTAAAATTTCCCAAGTGCAGTTCAGGAGACAGCGACAACACAATGGGCCAAGTGTCCGTGCACTCACTGGAAAATCAAGTAGAAAAGACAGATGTCCACTCACTTTATGAATTCATGTCATTTCTAAAACCATTGGGCTAACTGAGTAATTTACAAATGCATTCTACTAGCTATTTTCATATTCAATCACAGTAAAACACCAAGTGGTTGATTAAAAAAGAATTTCCTTTTGACATAAATACACATGAGCTAGTACATCTAGTACATCAATGTATGAAGCATTGATGATACATTCCAGCACTCTAGACCTTTCCATTATGGTATAAAATGATTTGCTATAATCTACTCACCTGTAGAATGAGAAGATTAATATATATTCTACAATATTGGAATAGACAAAATATGTTAATGAAGTTGAATCCTGATGATGCTGTTCAGTAGAGAATGTGCTGAATTAGGTTGGCTCTACAGAGTAACCTTGCACCATTTTATGAGCTAATCTCTAAATTTTTAAAAAACTCTATTAGATTTTGGTTGTGTCTGAATGAACAAATTAACATTATTTAAAGATGATGGCCCATGATTGAATGAAGCCAATTAGGAAATAAATACAAACGTTCATAAATATGGTGAAATCTATTTTTTTAAATGTGAACAAGAGTCACAAGAAAAAGATTCTTGACATCAGTTCAATGATAAACCTGTTCAAGACAAATAACAGGATTCAGATCTGAAAGTATGTCTTTATTTTTTAAAATATTTTTTAAATTAAAAAATTTGAATGTTGACAATATTGCATGTGTCCCCTTTTTCTTCCCCCCTTAGCACACCTCCCTCACTGCTGCCTCCCCCTCTCTTAGTTATTCTTCTTTAAAATAGTAATATAGCATGAGCACTGTGGCTCAGTGGTCAAACATTAGCTCATGTACCAAGAGGTCTGCAGTTTGATTCCTGATCAGGGCACATGCCTAGATTGTGGGCCCTATCCCCAGTGGAAGGCATGCAGGAGGCAGCCAAACAATGTTCTCTTTCATCAACGTTTCTATCTCTCTCCCTTCCTCTCTCTCTAGAATCAATAAAGAAAAAGAGAAATAAATTCAAATAAAATAGTAATATGTTTCAATGACCAAGCTAGTATATAGCCAGGCTGACTAATTAAATGTGTAAAGCAATAAATACATAAAGCAATTTCCTTTAAATATGTCAATTTTTTGTTTCAAATTTAAATTGATTATATAATTAAACTTTTTTCATCAGATATGTTTATTTTTAAAACATTAGCAAATATTGGGTCAAAAAAATTATTATTACAAGTAATCATTTAAAACTATTTGTGACCAGAGACTTGAGCCAGATGTTTTATTCTGTAACTATATTTAATATATTTGTTTTGTGATTATTAATACACACTGAAACTTATTCTATCAGGATTAAATCCAATGAATCATATTTTGATTATAATTCTTTTTTCTAACCACACACAGCTCACCATGATTCCATTTGCTGTGGGCTTAATTTTACTTAGATAAGAGAGTGCAAGACTAAAATGCTAAACATTCAGCTAAATTTTACTTGAATTACTTATTTCTACTAGATTCAAAAATAATTTATACTGGGTATAGCTAAGTCAATATTAAAATATATTGAATAAACTCAGACGTATAAAAAGGAAATGTCTATGATTCTTAAAGAATTTAAAATATATAGAGTGCTCATACAACTCAACAAAAGGAAGACAAAGAACCCAATTAAAAAATGGGCAGAGGAACTAAACAGACACCTCTCCATACAGGACATACAAATGGTTAGAAAACATGAAGAAATGCTCAACATCACTAATCATCAGAGAGATGCAAATTAAAACAAATATGAGGTATCATCCCACACCTGTCAGAATGGCCGCCATCAACAAATCATCACACAAGTGTTGGCGAGGGTGTGGAGAAAAGGGTAATTTAGTACACTGCTGGTGGGAATGCAGACTGGTGCAGCCACTATGGAAAACAAATTGGTATTACCTCAAAAACTTAAAAATTGAACTTCCATTTGACCCAGTGATCCCGCTTCTAGGAATATATCCTCAGAAGCCTGAAACACTGATCACAAAGAATATATGTACCCCCACATTCGTAGCAGCACTATTTACAATAGCTAAGATCTGGAAACAGCCCAAGTGTCCATCAGTAGATAAATGGATAAAAAAGATTTGGTACATATACACACTGGAGTACTATGCAGCTGTAAGAAAGAAAGATCTCTTATCCTTTGAGACAACATGGAGGGACCTTGAAAGCATTATCCTAAGAGAAACAAGCCAAACAAAAAAAGACAAGTATCATATGATCTCACTTATTTGTGGAATATAATGAACATAACAGTCTGAGGAATGGGGTAGTCCCAGAGATGTGGAAGTGGGGTACAAACTGACAATCCCCAGAAGAGGGGTGGTAGGGGAGAGATAAACCACAGAACTTATATGCATGTATGCATGAACAAAGGTCATGGACAACAATGCTGGGGACAAGGTGGGGAGGGAGAGAAGGGGAGGGGGAAATCAGTGTGGGAAAAAGGAGAAACATCTGTAACAAAATTAAATTAATTAATTTAAAAAATAAAAAGTTAGATTTCTAAATCATATTGTAGAGATCAAGGAAAATACTTATAATTAAAGTATTAAATAACAAACAAATATTAAAAATTTAATAGTATAACTTGAGATTTTAAAATTAATGCAAAGCTAGTTATAAAAGTGCAGTGTTTTTTAATTGGATTCTTTGTCTTCCTTTTGTGGAGTTGTATGAGCATTCTATATGTATTGGAAATTAACCCCTTATCTGATATATCATTGGCAATTATGCTTTCCCATACAGTGGGTACCCTTTCCGTTTTGATGATTGTATCTTTCGCTGTGCAGAAGCTTTTGAGTTTGATGTAGTCCTATGTGTTCATTTTCTCCTGTTTCTATTGCCTTAGGTGATGTGTCAGTAAAAATTCTGCTGTGTATGGTGTCTGAAATTTTGTTGCCCACAGTCTCCTCTAGGATTTTTATGGATTCATGAGTTACATTTAAGTATTTTATCCATTTTGAGTTTATTCTGGTGTAGGGTGTAAGTTGATGGTCTAGTTTCATTTTTCTGTAAGTAGCTGTCCAATTTTCCCAGCACCATTTATTAAAGAGGCTGTCCTTACTCCACTGTATGCTTTTGCCCCCTTTGTCAAATATTAATTGAGCATATTGCCTTGGGTCCATTTCTGGGTTCTCTATTCTGTTCCACTGGTCTGTATACCTGTTCTTGTGCCAGTACCAGGCTGTTTTGATCACAGTGTCTTTGTAGTATAACCTGAAATCCAATTAAAAAATGGGAAGAGGAACTAAATAGACACCTCTCCAAACAGGACATACAAATGGCTAAGAAACATATGAAGAAATGCTCATCATCACTAATCATCAGAGAGATGCAAATCAAAACAACAATGAGGTATCACCTCACACCTGTCAGAATGGCCGCCATCAACAAATCATCAAACAACAAGTGTTGACGAGGGTGTGGAGAAAAGGGGACTCTAGTGCACTGGTGGGAATGCAGACTGGTGCAGCCACTATGGAAAACAATATGGTGTCACCTCAAAAAATTAAAAATTGATCTTCCATTTGACCCAGTGATCCCACTTCTAGGAATATACCCTAAGAAGCATAAAACACCAATCAGAAAGAATATATGTACCCCCATCTTTGTAGCAGCACTATTTACAATCGCTAAGATCTGGAAACAGCCCAAGTGTCCATCAGTAGACAAATGGATCAAAAAGATGTGGTACATATACACAATGGAGTACTACGCAGCGGTAAGAAAGAAAGATCTCTTATCCTTTGAGAGACTACAAGGAGGGACCTTGAAAGTATCATCCTAAGTGAAACAAGCCAAACAGAGAAAGACAAATTTCATATGATCTCACTTATTTGTGGAATATAATGAACATAACAGTTTGAGGAATGGGGTAGTCCCAGAGACGCGGAAGTGGGGTACAGACTGACAATCCCCTAAAAAGTGGGGAGGTGGGGGAGGGATGAACCACAGAACTTATATGCATGTATGCATGAACAGTGGACATGGACAACAATCTGGGGAAGGGGCTGGGAGGGAGAGGGAGGGGGGAATCAGTGGGGGGAAAAAGGAGAAACATCTGTAACAAAAATTAATCAATAAAAAAAATAAAAAGTGCAGTGTTAATAAAAAGCACAGACTTAAAAGACGTCTTTGCCTCAACATTGAAACACACTAAGTTGTCAAAGGAGGAGAAGGAGAATAACTGCCGGGTATTGAGCACATGCAGCAGAAGGAGGCTTTTGTGTACCTTGATTTGACTCACCTTTCTAGCATCTCTCACAGCTAACAAGTACCAGAACCAAGACTCAATCCTGGGTCTTCCTCAGAGTGCATGAACTTTTCACAATTTTACCCTACCTTCTTTAATACCATGGCTTTATTCTGTAACTGACCTCCCCACTTGCTGCTCCCAGTGAAATAGAACATGATTCTAGATGTATATTTAGATAAATTTCAAACATTAATACTAGAGAAACGTTAAAAAAATAGCATTATCCTGAAGTGGCTTCTATATCACAAAACTAGCAAAATAAAGGATAATTGATTGTTTCCTCATTCAAGCCCTCAGATAATTGAATTGGTCGAATGTTTTCTTGCATACCACTGATAAATTTTCTTTATAGTTCTTGTTTAACCTGATCTTTCTTCTTCCATCAGAAAAATGAAAACATAGAATCAATTTGGAAAAATCTCACTTAACTCTACAAATCGAAATGCAATAGTTTATATTTTCTTTGTTGAATGTATTTACCTATGCAATAGGCAACAACTAAAGAGTTTAGACTGGGGATTTTATAACAGTCGACCTTGACATTCTAGGTCCCATCTCATAAAATATTTAAAAAATGGCATAAATTTTCTCTTCTTACCTGTGTAACAGCAAAAGCAGGTTTAGATATACTATGAATATGATTAATTTAGATTATTTATATCCCCTTACTCAACTGTTGATGAAAACGACAAGAGTTTCCCCAACGGGAACATGCCCCAATTATCTTCTGGTTCAAATTAGCAACATGATGATTTACTCAATAATTAAAATGGTTATGTAATACTTTACTACATGTTGATGTTTATTAAATAATCAGAGTTCTTAGTCCTCTGATTATGATGCTTTAGATTTGCAGTTTCCTGATAATTAGTGACATTAAGTATTTTTTATCTATACTTATTGTATTTATTTTTATTTTATTTTAAAATAAATTTATTGGGGTGGCATTGATTAATAAGGTTACATAGGTTCCAAGCTTACATTTCTATGATATGTGATCTGCATGTTGCATTGTATGCCCACCACCCAAAGTCAAATCATCTTCTGTCACCACATATTTGGCTCACTTTACCCTTTATTACCGTACGCACCTTCCCTCTGATAACCACCATTCTGTTGTCTGTATCTATGAGTTTTAATTTCACATCCCACATGTAAGTGAAATGGTATGATTCTTAGCTTTTTCTGACAACTTATTTTGCTTAACATGATATTCTCAAGGTCCATGTTGTCACAAATGACAGTACTTCATTTCCTATTATGGCTGAGAAGTATTTCATTGTATATATGTAGCACATCTTCTTTCTTTTTTTTTATCCTTACCTGAGGATATGTTTATTGATTTTAGAGAGAGACAGTAGGGTAAAAAGAAAGAGAGAGAGAGAAACATTGATTGATTGCCTCCCGTACACTCCCTGACCAAGGATAAAAACCGCAACCTAGGTATGTGCTCTGACCTGATATCAAACCCACAACCTTCTGATGTATTAAGGTAATGCTCCAACTGGTTGAGCCACCCGGCCAGGGTTGTAGCACATTTTCTTTGTCCAATCATCTGTCAAAGAACACTTTGGTTGTTTCCATGTTTTCGCCATGAATAGTGCTTCACTAAATATAGGGGTGCATATATCTTTGCCAATAAATGTTTTCAAATATTTTGGGTAGATACCCAGAAGAGGGGTTCCTGGGTCATATGGTAACTCTGTTCTTAATTTTTTGAGGAGCCTCCATCTAACTTACATTCCCACTAGCAGTGAATGAGGGTGCCTGCAACTGCTGAAAGCAGAGTTAAGGAAGAGAAGATGGAAAAGAGAGGTAGGAGAAAAATCTACTTGAAATAAGACAGTTAAGAACTTGAGAGAAACTGGGAAAAATCATAAACTATAATTTTCAAAATACCCAAAACATTTATACAAATATAAAATGACACATAGCAAAAATGTATTAACTTTCTCAAAAACAGGACTATCAATAAGAACATACGACATTAAAAGAACATTTAAGTATCAAAGGCTTACTGAGTTTACCAGAAAATGTACAACAAATATGAGTTTGACTTCTCCTTTAAATTTCAACAGATAAAATAGACATATAGAAAAGTGCTTGTATGAAGTATACAGTTTGATAAATTTCCACAATCTGACCATAATACTATAAACAAAACTAAGACTAAGAAGTGAGATATTGATGGTACACAGATACCTCCCTTATACTAATTTCTAGTCATATCTCCTCTACAAAAGAAATCTCTATTCTGAGCAAAGATTAATTTATATAATATCTAGTTTTTAAAGTTAAGGTTAAATTTTAATATAAATTAATAAAAACCCACTATTTATAGTGCCAGTTATGTGACTGTCAAACACATAGACTTATGTAACTAAAATCAAATTCTAGACTATTTCCATTATTTCAAAAAATCCCATCATGCACTATGTAATCAGTCTGGCAAAACCACAGGTGTGTTCTCCATTTTTAGATTTTTTGCATTTTGCAGAATGCGATATCCGTGGAATCACATTGTCCGTCATCTTTTGAATTTGCCTTCTTCCAATGGGCACACGATATTTTAAATTCATCTGTGTACTTGATTACAGCAATGGTATTAATACTATTAAGTTGCTGAGCAGTATTCAATTTTATGGATGTACCACAGTTATTTATTCTCTATTTGATGGACATTTGGCTTGCTTTCAGTTTGGAAATATGGTGAATATAGCCACTATAAAATGTGAAACCAAGATCTTTGTGTTCATCTATATTTTCATTTCACTTGGGTAAATGGCAGAATGAGGTCACAGGGTCATATGATGAGTGTATGTTTCATTTCATAAGAAACTGTGAGTGTTTGCTCAAGTGCCTACACCATTTGCATTCCTAGTGATAGTGGATGAGAGTTCCAGTTACTCTGCATCCTCATATGGTCAGTCATTATTATACGTGGAAACTTTAATTATTGTATTAGGAGTATGGGGTCACATTGTTAAGTTGCATTTTTTCCCTAACATAAGATATTATTTAGCACTTTGTCATGGACTTATTAACCACCTGTGTGTCTTCTGTGCTGAAATGTTTGTTTAAGTGTAAGCCCTTTTATAATTGTTTTTTTCTACATTTTGTTATAGAGTTCTTTATATATTCTAGTTACGAGTTCTCTTTTGCTTAAATATTAAAGCAAATATTTGTACAAGTTTGTTGTTTTTTGTTTATGAAGATGGGCTGTGGCTAAGGTGTGGAAGTAGCCAACCTGACAGCCAAGTACTGACTCTGAGAATTATGCTTCTCTTTGATCATTTTTGAGTTTATGTGTAATCTTTATAAATGCCAGAAGTCTTTGTATTCTGTGAGAAATTAAAGAATGGGATTTGTATTCATGTTCAGGATGAAATAATAAAAGAGAGAAAAGCAACCTCGTAAATCAGTATGTAATGACGCCAGAAATTTAAACTCGTCTGTGGTCTGTGAGTACATATTGCTGCCAAGGCATAGATCCAAGTATGGAGCACAGTGCTTTGAACTGGGATCAAAACCAGTAATTCTATGAAAAGTAGTCTGGGAATATGTGAGCAGTGATTTTTGCTATTGATTGGGTGGTATTTACTCTAGGTAGTCAGGTATAATTTATAAAGTTACCAATAATTGTGGTTACTAGAACCTATCTGATTTGAGTAATATGAGATAAAAGTCTATATTCTATATTTTAAAGCAATGATTAAGTGCAACAGCAACTGTGTGTAACTATATATGTCCTATGACAATATTCATATATTGATATTCTGACCCCAAAATGAGGCTATTTTTTGGTGATAGGGTCTTTGTAGAAATAATTAAATTAAAATAAGGTCTTTAGTTTGGCCCTTAATCCAGTGAGACAGGTGTCCTCATAAGAATAGGAGCTAAGACACAGAAAGACTCAGAGAAATGATGATGAAGACAGAGGAAGAAGATGGCTATCAACAAGAAAATGGCCTCAGGCAAGATCAGCTCTGCCTTTAATTTCATCTAAGATTCCCAGATTCTACAATGCTGAAAATTAAATTTCTGATGCTTAAGCCAACGGTCAGTGGTGCTTTGCTATGGCAGAACTGACCAACTAATACAATCACTATCAGCATATACATAAATATGTGTGTGCATGTTTGTGTGTGTGTGTATCTGAGAATGAATGAAGAAAAAAGCAAACAATGACACAGTTTCCCTGCATGTGTGGAAATGGCACAGGTGGAGGTAAGACTTTAATTTTTCCAATAAAAGTTTGAAGAATAATGGAAAGAAAATAATACACACAAAAACAATTATTATTTTGATAGTGAGACAATGAACATTAGTCTTACTTTGTTTCAATTTAATGGCTAGGGTGAAAATACACTTTATTGATACATCTATTTTCCCAAAACACTCGTTTCATTGCCTCTTTCACATCTTTGTTCCTCAGACTGTAGATGATGGGATTCAGCATGGGAATCATGATGCAGTAAAATGTCGACACTATCATGTCATGGTCCAAAGCGTAGCTGGAACTCGGTCTCACGTACATGAAGAGAATGGTTCCATGAAAAACTGACACCCCAGTTAGGTGAGAGCCACATGTAGAGAAGACTTTTCTCCTCCCTTCACTGTTGTGCATCCTCAGAATGGCCAACAGAATGAAACCATAGGAGATCAGGACAATCAGGACAGTTACGATCTCAATTGCACCCACGAAGTAGAAGAGTAGAAGCTGGTTTGTGTATGTGTCAGAACAAGAAATAGCAAGGAGAGGAGGGATGTCACAAAAGACATGTCTAATTTCATTGGACGCACAGAAAGATAGGCTAAATGTGGCCACTGTGTGTATAGAAGCATGCACAATGCCACCGGCATAGGAAGCAACCATGAGTGACACATAGACTCTGGGTGACATGCTAACTGGATACAGGAGAGGGTTGTAGATTGCCACGTAGCGGTCATATGCCATTGCAGCCAAGAGGAAGCATTCTGTGGTCCCAAAAGTAACAGCAAGAAACATCTGTGTTGCACACTCGAGATAGGAAATGGCTTTATTCTCATTCAGAAAATTGACCAACATCTTTGGGGTGACAACTGAAGAATAACAAGCATCCAAGACAGATAACACACTTATAAAATAGTACATGGGGTTATGGAGCCGAGAATCCCTAGTGACCAAGAAAACCATTCCCAAATTTCCCATCAGAGTAAAAAGGTAGATTTCTAGAAACAGTAAAAACAGGAATACTTGCACCTCAGAATTATTTGTGAAGCCCATCAATATAAACACAGTGACTTCAGTCACATTGTTCATGTAAATTCTGTGTGAATCTAAGTCTGATGTCAGCTGTGACATTTTATTTTTATTTATAGATTGTAAAGCAATATTTTTGAAAATAGAATCCACCCTCTTCTATCTTCTTAGAGGGACAGATTGAAATCCTTGGCAATGAGGGAAGAGGCGATGATGAAGGAGCTGGAGCAATGAATGCACTACCCTGTTAAATTAAAGAAATGTTTATGAAATGGTTGGCTAAATTTGTCATGTTGAAAAATATGTCAACGCAGGTGCTTTAATTTCCAATTAATTTTCTGTCAAATTTTGTATCACCTAGTTGCATATTCCATCATCTTAAAATTTACAAAGATGAAAAAATATAGAAAATTTTGTTCAATAATATTATAGCAGAAGATATCCATCTGAATACTAATTCTGGGTTTTCTATGGTGTGCATAAATTGCCCTTCCTTAATGTTTACAGCTGTTGAAGGGAAAGAATCACACTAATATCAGAAGATTGTATATAAATGATAATTGTCTTTAAATGAGAAAAATAGTGTTAAAGTTACTTTATTTATTTATTTATTTATTTATTTATTTATTTATTTATTCATTCATTCGTTGTTAATTTACTTTTGTTACAGGTGCTTTTCCTTTTTCCCCCACTGACACCCTACTCCCCATCCCCTACCCCTCCCAATTCCCAGCTTTGTTTTCTATCTACATCGGTTATGCATACATACATATAATTCTGTGGTTTACCCTACACACACACCTTTTCTTCTGAGGATTGTCAGTCTATCTTTTTTTTCCCATTGTTTCCTGATGACTAGAAAACGGGCTAAGTTAGACTTGCATTTCAACTTGTTGCATGGGGCAACCTATTCCAACCAAACCCTTGTATCCCTTCCTTTTGGTTAGTGTCCCTTCCCCTAGCAGTTCTGCAACACTGGTGAAGAGACAGCAGATATAATTCTGGAGGCAGATACATCTTGTATGCAAATCATAACAGAGAATTGGTTTGGTTTGGTTTTTCAGTTTTCGTTCTTGATATGCCTATCACCAAGTTGTTTACTTAGACCTACACAATTTGTTATACAATTGAAGTTTCCCCAAATTTAACTGAATGCCAATGTAAGATTTTCTTCTATTGATATACTCATTATCCTTGCAAAATCCTTGGGTGTATTTTTAAGACTTATGTATGTCAAAAATAAATCATGGCCATTTCATTAATATAGTTTCTTAAGAAGTCACTAAAATTGTTATAAAAGGAAAATTACCCAATAATGGATTATACAATTTATAGAAGCTATTGTTAAAAAAGTAAAATTACAATATAAGCCACAAAGTAGTATTTTATTTCTGGTATATTTCCCTATGCCTCCAGACTGTTTTGCATTTAGTGAAATATGAAATAAAAGGAAAGTGCATAAAAAAATTGAAGTGTCAACTATATCTAGACTGAAAGTCTTCGTGATTGAAACAAAATAAAATATTGCCTCTACCATGTTTAAGAGCAAGATTTGAAGACAAAGATTCTTGTTTTCCTTCATTGTGTCACAGTCTAAAGGAGTAAAAAATCTGCAGTGTATAAGGTCAGGGACATACCAAGGGTTTATATTTGTGACATGAAACACACTACATGTTTGTCACACTGAGATGTTCATACATCAAAAAGAAATGAGACAATATGCTTTAAACTATTCTTACAAAAAGAAGAAAGCCACATTCTTTGCTTTCCTGGTAAGGTCATCCCTGATCTATGTGGAAGACCTTTTTATATTTTTTTATCCTCACCTGAGGATATTTTTGCATTTATCTTTAGATAGAGCAGGAGGGAGAGAGGGAAGAAGAGAGAGAGAGAAACATTGACATGAGAGACACACATCAAGTGGTTGCCACCCACACTACCCCAACCGGGCCAAGGACAAACTGCAACCGAGGTACGTGCCCTTAGCATGAACCAAACCCAGGATTCTCTGATCTGCGGGCCGGTGCTCTAACCACTGAACAAACTGGCCAGGGCTTGAAGACATTTTTTAAATAGATTTTTTACTGATTTTTAGAAAGAAAGAGGAAGGGAGAGGGAGGGAAACACCATGTGAGAGTGATACATCGATCAGGTGCTTCCTGCTTGCCTCCCACCAGGGATCAGCCCAAAATCCAGGCACCTGCCCAGACCAGGAATTGAACCAGCAACCCCTTGGTGCCTGGGACATAGCCCAACCAATTAAGCCACACCTGCCAGGGCTATGAGGAAGGCTTTTTACATATAGTGAATAAATACCTTTTCAGATGTGGAGATGCCAGCACCCCACACGCAGAATACTCATTTAATCCTTAGAGAATTCTAGAGTAAAATATATGTAATTAAGCTAAATTTCAACTTCAGTGTAAATACAGTCAACTGACAGTACTCTTGAGAATACACACATGCACACGCACACACACACACACACATCTTATAATTTTCAGTTTTATTTGAATGGTAACATAGATAAAATAGCATAAAACAAGCAATTAATAATATGAATATATATTGATGTATTCTTTGGGCATCAAAACAATTTATTTCTGATTAAAAAAATTCTCATTCTATCTCTCTGTCCCTCATTCCCCTAACCACCTCTCTCTGGTTTATATACAAAAAAATGTTTATGAAAAAGATTCTGGGACAAAACATGAATTAAGCAGATCAGAAGAAGCACAGTGAAATCAACAAAAACATATCAAGCAACTTTAGAAAAATATACCCATATGTAGTCTACTAAAGATATCCCTAACAAAATACATGTTGACTGTTATACACAGGAGAAATTTCAGCCACATTACAATTCTAACCTTTACTGAATTGATATGTCTGTGATAATACAATTGTGGAAGATGAAGAACATTATACTTGTATTCTAAAATACTGTATTAAAATCTCAGATTTAGCACCTAATGACAGTGTAACCTTGAAAAATAATTTTATCTTTCAAAACCAAAAGATAGCTAATATGAACATAATTTCCAGGCATATCTCATTTAACTACATGAATGTGGAGTGACTGCAGAGTGCTTAGTTATAAGATGCATTAAATGTTTATTAAATTAACATGTTTTAGTTATATGTAAAGGGTATATCCAAATGATCTATGACTTCCAAATTTTAACTACAAAATATAAATAGGGAGTTATAAAATCAGTTTTTCCTTCAAAGCATTGAGCATTAAATGAGCACCTAACTGGAAGCTAAGTACTCTTCCTTTACTTATACATATTTGTTATATGGCACCCCCAACGTTCAGGGTTCCCTCAAAGAGGTTTACACATTTTAATGGCTCAATTGATGTTTCTTTCTTTTTAGATTTAACCCACTGGAATTAATAATTATTCAAAGTGGGTATACATTTTTTGGGACGCTCTGATTTTAAAAACCTTTCTCATAAGATTAAATCCAGTGAATCCTAATATTCTATGCTATCAAGAAACTTAAAAATACATTTCTGTCATTGCATTATAACTCTGGGCATAACAGTAAAATAATAACATGTTTGCTTAAATTCTTCTGATAATTTTAACCATAATAACTTACTCATAGCTCCTGAGTTCTCTGATTTTATCTAGTGGAAGAAGGTGGTTTATGAATGAAGGTATGTTTAATTCAAATTGTGTCCCATTAGAGCAGTCATCTACTCCACCGTAGGGCACCGCAGGAATGATGAACAAAATGCATGGCGTTCATCTACTTCTCTAATGATGCTCTGCAAATGGGCATTTCTGTCAATTAACATATAAGGACATTACAACTGATTGTGTTCACATCTAACTAATTTCACTTTAAGAGATAGAAATTAGAAAGACAAATACTAGATTTTAAAATGTATCAAAACATGACCATTCTGGAAAACTGCAATCAGAAGAGTTCCTCAACCTTCACAGAGTCATCAAGCACCATACATCCCTGAGAACAGGATGCAAACACTGAGCTGGAAAGGAGGGAAAGCTATGGCAGCCGCTAGGGCATGTTGTTAAGTAGCTACTAGTGTTAGAAATCGTGTGTACATTATCTTCTGTAATCTACACAGCAACCTGCAGAGTGATTCAGCGCCCTTTCCTAGATGAGAAAACTGAGAACCAGCCTCACCTATAACTTGATTAAAGTCAGGTAGCTACTAGCAGAGCCAAGATTCAAATCCAGGTTTCTCCATCTCCAATCTAAGCTCTTTTCACTAGACCACATCACAGACTCATTGTGACATACCATATATTTTGAAATGTTATCCCCAAGAAATAACACAAAGTAACATACTCATGTATCTGATATTTTTACAAAGCTACAAGTTTAAATAGAGCATTATATATTAAAAACAAACAAACAAACACAAGTTAAAGTAGCATCTAGATCAATAGCTACCAAGTAAAATAAATTTAAAATTCATGTATATCTTTTCATGAGAAGAAGATTATGATTTCAAAATGGCATATATCCAATGGTTGCTTGGTAATTGATTTTCTCTTTATTGAATAATTTTCCTAAATTTGAAATATAGTCTCTTATTTCTACTACTTTTAATTTGTTATCTTCCATCAAGGAAATTATATCAAATTTCTAATTTACAAATCTATTGACCTAAATCTATTATTTTTTAATTATTATTATTATCGCTGCTGTTTCCCTGGAATTCTCTCATTCAATTTTTAATTCAACTCTAAGTTAACTATAAGTTTTCTATCTCAGATTTATATATTAAAACATATAATCTAGTTTGAGGTCAAGATTATAATATGTGATACTTTTTAAATAATTTTTTTTTAATCCTCACCCAAGGACTTTTTCTTTTTGCATTTATCTTCAGATAGAGTGGGAGGGGGAGAGAGAGAAACATTGACACGAGAGACACATCGAGTGATTGCCACCCACACAACCCCAACTGGGGTGGAAACAAACTGTAACTGAGGTTCGTGCCCTTAGCGGGAACTGAACCAAGGACTCCCTGATCCGCAGGTCGAAGCTCCAACTGCTGAGCCAAACCGGCCAGGGCTAATAGTGATATTTTTAAGGAATGAAAAACCTTCCCCCTTACCTGTGGAAATGAACTGCTCCCTCAGCTGAGGTATCCAATGAATATTAAGGACTTGGACTTATACCAGGTTCTCAAGCTCTTATTGAAGTCCACAGGGACACTCCAAGGAGGAAACACACTAATTGTCTTCTGGGACAGAGAAAGTAGCGAGGTGACTTTGCTTTTTTCCATTGTAAACAAACAACAAAAATGCTTCTGGAGCAATATACAATATGCTAAAAATGATTACATGCATGCACTTTAGCCTCTGGTATACAAAGACATTTCAATGGAAAAAGAATATGAGCAAGATTGGAAAGGAAATTTAATGACACAGAACAGAGACCTAGCTCTGACAGTAAATAACTGCGTGCCATGGGTTGATAACTTGAGTAAGAAATTCTCTAAAATCCAGGTTCCTCTTCCTGGGAATTTAACCAATCTACATCTCTCAAAATTTTCTAACCATGTATATAATGAAATAATCTGAAAGCATAAACTATGACAGAATTCATAATAATTTAATAAATGTTACTATACCTATTTAAATGTTAATGTACTACACTTTGGTGTGGTATGAGAGATACAGTTAAGCTCATTAATAAGTATTTGATAGAGGAGGTAAGAAAACAAGAACAGGAATTATTGACAGGTAGTATGCGCTGCCTACTGCTGAGATTCCCCAGAGACCTACAATATTTCATTAGGTTCTCAAAGTACTTTTATTTTATTTAACTTTTTTTTTTTTTTTTGATAGTATTACAGATGCTCCTCCTTTCCCCCATTGACCCCCTCCTCTTTGCTCCTACAATCCTCCTTTTTTCTCCAAACTAATGTCTGTATCCATTGTTTGTGCATATATGCATATAAATAGTTCTTTTGTTTATCTCTTCCCACCCCCAGACCCCACATCCCTCTGAGGTTTGTCAGTCTTTGCCCTACTTCCATGTCCCTGGATCTATTTTGATCGACAGCTTCTTTTGTTCATGATATTCCATAAATAAGTGAGATCATATGGTACTTGTCTTTCTCTGACTGGCTTATTTTGCTCAGCATCATACGCTTCAGGTCCCTCCACTGTCATCTCAAAGGTTAAAAGATCTTTCTTACAGCTGCATAGTATTCCATTGAGTAAATGTATCACAGCTTTTTTATCCACTCATCTACTGATGGACACTTGGGTTGCTTCCAGTCCCATAATCCTTTTGTAACACCGTGATTAAGCCTGGATTAGTAGGGAACTTTTGGAATACTGAAGAAAAATAAAATGTTTACTGGAACTTGCTGTCTACCAATGCTAAATTTTTCTATTTCAGTCCTAGGTGCATCCATGCATGTAGTTTTTGTATGTGTGCATAGTTATGATTGATCAAAATATGTTTTTTACTTAATCCAAGTCAACTATAGATAGTATTCAGGATTCACAAAATTATATGAGTTATAAAATCCTACAGAGATTAAACTTTTGATGTTTCCTTCACATTTCTATGGCATTTTGGGGTTTTACTAATTTGAATAATAATCTTCTAAGTTAAAATATGTATCTTATTCATTTTAAACACAGCACTTTATTACAGACTGACAAACCTCAGAGAGGAGGTGTTGGGAGGAAAGGGATAAACCACAGTACTTATATGCATTTATGCGTAACCAATGGACATAGACAACATAACTGGGGATGGGGTGGGGGGGATAGGGAAGAAGTGTCAATGGGGGGAAAAAGAGAAACATCTGCAACAAAAACAAATTAATAAAAATAATTAAAAATAAAATGTAAACACAACACTTTATAATTTGAACAGAGTAAAGGTGAAATGAATTTGATTGACTATAGATGTATCTGTTAGATTATGCACGATATATATTGTGGTTTTACATTATTATACTTTGCCATATTTGCTGATTGTTGCAATATAAAACAGCTTATTTTGTCCAGATAAGGACGTTGGTTCTTAGAGAAGTTAGTGCTAACCCAGCATCAGAACTATGATATGAGTGCATCTTACAGCTTAAGGTTTCTTATCTAGTGTCACAAGATCTGGGTTTCTACCATACTGTTGTCTGTC